AGACTCAACAAACTATGGTGCTGTACGCTTCTCCTGAATAAAGAAATCTGTGATGGAACTCTTTGGACTCCAGAAGATTTACTGAACTTTGGGACTGAGTGTGCAGACTCTGACATGGCCATGACTTGCTGCTTCAGTGGATCTTTATCTTAATTCTTTGGAACTTGATGTTTGTTTCTCACACCAGGAAAAGACACAGCTGATTTAAGGAGTTCTTGGCAGAGGCTATGTGAGCATCTAAAACACCTTTTACTTTCAAATCCAACATAGCCTTATATGGAACTATACTGAATCTATCATACACACCTGAAAGATGGCAGACCACAGGGATTCCTAATTTTTTTAGATCATCTGCATTTCCAACTCCAGATAGCATAAGTAACTGTGGAGAATTTATGGCACCTCCACTTAAAATAACTTCCTTACTAGCAAAAACCTGAAATAAAATAATAGTAATTTAATCAGACTAAATTTTGATAGACTAAAACCAATATAAAATAGTGTTATTGGATTTGTGGCAGCCAGTTTTCATACTCCTTGTGTTATGTCTAAAAGTTTTGTAATCTAGAGAGTTTGAAATAACTGTTTAAGACTTGCTCTATTGTTTATTTTTAAGTAATCTTTTCTCTTAAGCATGACAGCAATACCAATATTTCCTGTCAATCCAAACTCATTTCCTAAACTTTTCTCTTTATTAACATAAACTATTCTTCAAAATGTAATACTGAATAAAAGGCTTTTGTTACTTCAAATAATATATTGTCTTTTTACAACTGCTTTTCTTTTGCTTCTTTTCCCCATAAACTGTATCTCATGTTACTTGAATAATCCCATTAAATTAACTTTTGCTTTGTACCAAAAGAACTATTTAACCAACAAAGGAAATTCACATTCTGCAGATCAAAGAGAATATTGGGCTCCACATTCTTCTACTTGAATAGTCATCTGGCAACATAAATCTGTGAGTGACTAATTATATCTTTTATTTCTCTAAAGATGAGTTATCCCAGGATGATACTCTCTTTTTTTCAGACATCTGTTATCATCCTTTCTAATTTGAAGTTCACAATAATTCAGTTTTACTGTATTTTACTACAGTTCCAGTTAATCCCTGAAAGAATAGTGGTATATGAGGAACAGTGGTACTGAAAACATATGGTGTTGAAGGATTTAGCTAGATTTATCCATTTAGTGTGGCTAACTCCATAGTATCGTTTTAATGACATAATGCATTCTTTCAAAAACTTCCACACTACTGTTTCATAGTACTGCAATTATAGCTTGGGAAAACAATTCCTCTTATGAACTGCTAAGAATTTTTTTAAAAGAAAGAGCAGGAATAAACTATTTTCATAATTGACAAGAGGTCATCATCAAGATTTCCTAATTTTAATCCTGGAATTAATGCATATGAACTTATTAATAAATGAGCTGGACACAGAGGTGAAAGAATTGTATCCAGGGTTGCTGATACTACTAAATAAAATACCTGAAAACACAAAGTACCTATGAAAGCTTCAAATTAATATCTCCAAACTGAGTGAAAGGGCATTCAAAGCAGCAATGAGGTTTCAAGGCAACAAAAGGCCAATTATCAAAGGAAAAGAACTGAAGATAAAACGGGAAGAATCACAGTATCATCAAATCTGTTGATGATGTAGTTGCATTTACTATACTGGTTATAGAGCTTCACAATATTTGTTCTTTGTCATCTAGCTTGTGAGTCCATTAAACAGCAGTAATTTTTTGTTGTGGTTTTTACAAAAGCTAAATTGTTTCTGCTCTTCTGGGTTTTTCCTTGCCATATAAAGTTCTGGTTCCTTCTTCTCCTGTGCTCTAGTTAGGGTCACGTTTCACAGCAGG